GAATGACAAAAGGAAGACTTTGTTAATAACACATTGTAGAGCAAGGTGGTAAAGTGTCTAGCATATAGTGGGTACCCCCTAAATAACAGCTAATAGTATTGCTTCCTCCTCACTAGCTCTTCAGCTTCAGTGACATCTACCTAGCCTTTCATGCCCTTCGTCTTCTCCCAATGAAATCACCCTTTCCAGTATCCCTGTTCACGATCCAGCCTGGACTCCAACCCTCAGTATCATTAACTTCCTCGTCCTTCAGGAATCTCTACCAAGCAGGCATCTGCAAAGCACTGGTTACCAACCTGGGTTCTGAAACTGAACTACCAGGCTTTGCAGGCCCAGCTGTTCATCTTACAATTAAGGAGATTAACAGTTACTACCTTATGAGCTCTTAGGAGTATTAAACAGCTTCTTTAGTTATACACAGAGTGATCATGCTGGAGGAAAAAAAAAAAAACCCCACAGATGCAAGGTGTACGATCTCAAATGGGCCCTCAGTGCTGCTTAACAATCCTTCATTTTCTTGTCATGTGTCAGTGTGTCTGCCCTTCTCTCCCTCTCTCATTCACTTGGAAGCTATTATAAGCTCACATACTCTTTTTAAGAACTCTTATTCCACTACTTTCTCCTTCACTCTTAGCAGGTACTCAAACATGATACATGTTATCAACTCATTTTCCTTCTTGCCCCTATCAGAAACTTTTATCTCTGACTTTACCTCCTTCCTTTCTGTTCACTGGAAAAGGAAAATCACCTACTACCCAAGGCCAATTTCTCTACATATGCCTTGGATCCCACTGCCGCTCACTGCTTACAAATCTCTGACTCCATCAATCACCTCTCCCCCTCTCTCCCTGCCCATTTCTCCCCAACTTTGGTTCTTTTCGATCTCATATGAATCTAGGCCCCAAATCCTCTTAATTTAAAAGAAGAGGGAGTAAACTTCTCTAAATCCCCTTATCTCCCTCCACCTATACTTTTTTTCAGTTATCTGTTAAAAACACACTGTATTTGTACCGAATTAGCTAAGGTTGTTCACTATTAACCCCCTAAATGCATAGTTTGCTTTTTTTTCATCCTGGGTCCGTCTGGCACAGATGGTTGGCTTCTCTTCAGTTGCCTGCCCCACACGGTAGCACATAACAAAAATGTAGGAATCATCCTATATCTTCAACCTTGCTCAGCCCTATCATCTGATTATTTACCTTGTACTGTTGATAATACTTCCCAAATCTCTTATACATCCACCCCCCTCCTTTATATCCCTCATACTTTCTCATCAGGAATGGCTTCCTAACTGATCTTGCTTCCAGTTTTGCCCTTCTCTAATCCAGCATTCACTTCACTGGCAACATGATAGGTCTAAAACACAAATCTGATTCCACCACAGCATTTTTCCCCCCACTAAATCTTCACAGCCTTCAGGATAAAGTTAAAGCTCCTTAACTTGGCTGATAAGGCATTCAGTGATTTGGCTTCTTACCACTTCACTGGCCCCTGTTTGAAAACTGTGCTGTCCACCTGTGGCTACTGATTACTTGAATGTGACTAAATTGAAATGTGCTTTAAATTTAAAATACATACCAGATTCTGAAGACTTAGTATGAAAAGGGTAATGTTAAATATTTCAATTCTTTCAAACACTGATTACATGTTGAAATGATAACATTTTAGCTATATCAGGTTAAATAATACACTTTTAAAATTAATTTCACTTTTTTAATGCAGCTACTAGAAAATTCAAAAATACATATAACATATTTGTGGCTCCCATTATATGTTCACAGGACAGTACTAGTCTAAAATGCCCTTTACCAAATATCAGGGTGACAGGGTTAAGGGAAGGGAGGATGCCAGACGGGTTGAGCAAAATAGACTGGCATTTTATCAAAAAATATATATACAATAAATATTAAATGTCCTTTCTCTTTTGCTGAACCCAGTTAAGTCCTATTTTTGAAGATTAGCTCAGGTAACGCATGAGGATGCATTCCAGAACTCTCCCTCCCCAAGACCCCAAGTCTTAGTCAACTACCCCTCCTGCATGCTTCCACCCAGAGGAATCTACTTATACCTGTGTCATATATCACATCATATTGTTAATTATCAGTTATCAACCATCTTCTCCTCCATGCAAAAAGGCACATCATTCTACATATGCTCAGGGCCTATCATGCCTATCACTGGAAAAGCAATCAAAATATTTCTCAAAGAAACATGAACTATCTGTTCTGGCCTGAAAGTTCCTAGAATTTCTAGTTCTACAAGGAAAGCAAACCAGCAATGAAGGAGCCTAGACTTTCCAGGGAGCTCTAGTAACGAAAGGACTGGGATGGTGGTGAGGAGTAGGAATTACAGAGAGAACAGCAAGGAGCAAGTAAAGCTCATCACACACACCTGCCTGTCACAGTGGAAACAGGGATTTGCAGCAGTGAGATGGAACCTTGAACTCACTTTTGGCAAGCCAGGGGCCACAGTCTGGTTCCTAAATTACTTAACCCAACCAACAAAAAGAGTGTGATTTGGCAGGTTTAAACACAAACAGCTAGAGCTCAGCACCTGTTCCACTTAAACAGCACATCATTACAGTTAAAAACAACAACAAATCTCTCTCATGAAGCAAATGCTAATCTCATGATGCTTCACCATGGAGCAATTTAGAAGAGTTATTATATGAAATGTGCCAAAGCATGAATTTATGGCTGATGCTTATTTGGCAAATAAGGTTGGCACTGCTAGATGTTGAAAAACATGTATGCAAATAAGCAAATAAAAGTTTTTAAGCTCTCCGACTTAAATATTTACATTACCATAAATGTACAAAGATAAATGTTTATATGAGTACACATATAATGCATTCCAGGAACACATTTTTTAATGTGATTGTCAGAAACAGCTATAAAGTGGCATTACTTCTTTATGGGCCTCAGGGTAGACTCTTAAAAATGGATTCTGACAGAATGTTAATGGGGCCCAAACATCAGCAAGGAAGTTTCTCTGCACTATCACTGGGTAAAGTGAATACTCATCATAACAGCTCGAAGCAATCTTCTCTTGTCCTTTCGCCCAAATATTTTCTTCCCCTATTGGGACCCAGCCAAACAGAAATACCAGCTCCTAAATGGTAGAGAGGGGATGGAAAGGAGGACCACACATCACCAGCCTCAAGGAAAAGGACTTGAGGCTTCCCCCCCCCCATGTAATATAATCAAGCTACAGTCTCCAAAATAAAGACATGATAAAATATTTCCCCTTCTGACAGCTACGGAAAGAAGTTTGTTTTTCGCATACTTGGTGAATTGGTCATGGCCCAGCTCCCCGGCAATGGCAGGCACTCTGCTCCCGCTCGCCGGGAGTCCCCGGGCGGGGGCCTGAGCCGGGAGCCGCCCCACCTGCCGGGAGCGCCTGCCGCGGGCGCCGCGGGAGGCTCGGGGGGGGGGGGGTCGGGGCGGCGCGCGAGTGTCCGCGGACGCCCGGGGCCGGGGCCGGGGCCGGGGCCGGGGCGGCGCGTCGGGGTCCCCGCTGGGGAGGGCGGGCGCGGCCCGCAGCAGGCGCCCAGGTCGGCGGCCCTGCCCGAGGGCCCGGGGGCCCGGGGGAGGCTGCGAGGGAAGTCCCCGATCCGCGAGCGGGGCGGGCGTGTCGGGCTCCCGGGGCGAGGCCGCCACCACGAGGCCGGCTCCGCGCCTCCACGCGCGTCCGGGGCAGCGCTCGGGGCCGACACCGAAGTCGTGCCCTCGGCCGGCCGGGGCGGGGGGGAGGGGGAGGAGGGGAGGGAGGGGAGGGGGAGGGGGCTGCCGGCCCCGCAGCCGGCGGGTCACAAAGTAGTCACGACCGAGAGCCGAGACAAGCCGCCGCCGCCCGCAGGAGAGCCGGGCGGGCAGGGGAGCCTCCCGGGGCCGAGCGGGGCCCGCCGACACGCAGCAGCGCCCGCGTCCAGCCCCCGCAGCTGCACTTTCCCCAGCGGCAGCCCCGCCGCGCCCGGGGGCGCCCCTGCGCCAGCTCCAACTCTCCCTCCTCTGGGGGGCGCCGGGGGACCGGGGCGGCCGTCCTCGCCGGGGGGCGGGGGGAGCTCCGGGGCGGCCGTCCTCGCCGGGCGGCGGGGGGGGGCAGCGCGGGGGGTGCAGGGGGGCGGCAGGGCTCGGGGCGGCGGGGAGGGGGGTGGGGGGGAGGGTGCAGAGGGTGCAGGGGGGCGGCGGGGCTCCGGGGAGGAGTGCGGGGGGGCCGGGGGGTGCAGGGGGGGCGGCTGGGCTCGGGACGGCGGCAGGGGGGTGCAGAGGGGGACGGGGGAAGGACGGCGGGTGGGGAGCGGGGGGGTGCAAGGGAGCGGCGGGCCCCGGGGAGGAGTGCAGGGGGGGCGGGGGGGGGTGCAGGGGGCGGCAGGGCTTAGGGCGGCCGCACAGCCCGCGCCCGGCAGGACGCACCGGCCGCCTGCGCCCCCGTGGCGCCGCCCCACGACCCCGCGCGCCCCGCCCGGGCTCCGCCGGGGCAGCGCTCGCCCCCCCGGCCGGCCGGCGCCGGGGAGGGGACCGAGGGGACGCGGGCAGCCCTGCCCCCGTTACCTGGAAGGCGCGCATGCCGCTGGGGCGACCACCATCGCCGGCCGGCCCGTCCCCTGCCCGGTGACCGCGGCCGCCGCCGCGGAGCAACTGACACTAACAAGTAACTAACTACTGGCCGCCGCCGAGCCTGCCGAGCCTGCGGCGCGCGCCCGCCCGGCCCACCAGCCCGCGCTCCCGCCTCCTCCCGGCCCGCGCGCCACCCCTCCGCGCGCACCCGCCGCGGCTCCCCACGGAGCGAGCACGCGCACGCGCACGAGCCCCGCTCGGCCGTCTCCCCGGGCTCGCCCCGGCCCCGGGGGAGGAGCCACCGCGAGGCCCCGCCCACCTCCGGACCATCAGCCTATGAGGGCTCCAGACTGACCGGCGGGGGCGTGGCCGAGGGAAGAGGGCGGGACGACCAGGCCCTTGGGCTAAAGCCAAGGGAAATTCGGGTTCCGCTCAGTCCCAGACGGAAAGGGCGGCAGGACGTTTGCCCTTTCGGTGCCGAAGTCCCCTGGCCAACCTGCCGTCGAGTGCAAAACACGTGTTTCCAAGGGCCCCCAGCATCCCGTAATTACCGAGTCCTTTCTGCAGGCCTTAGCGACTTCAAAAACTACATCTCCCAGGAAGCTCCGCGAAAGCCGGCCTCACCTTGCGTCATCACGTAGTCCCTCGCCGCATTGGAACAAAATAATCCCTTCGTTTTTCTCAAGGTACGGGGGTAATAGTCCCTTTTTCTCCTCGCCGGAGCAATTCTAAACGCCATCGCGACAAGGAAAGTTGCGTCGGGGGAGGTGGCTCAGCGGCCGGGCGAAGGGAAAGGAAAGATAGCAAAAGAAAGTACTGCGGAGGAATTTCCCCCGCCGCGAGACGCCGCCGCGAGCCGAGTGCAGGCGACCGAGAGGGGCTCAGGGGATTGTCCTCCGTGCGGGGGCCTCTGCGGGCCCCGTCCCCGCCTGCCCCTGCCTCCAGCAGGCCGGTAAGCAGGGCGGGCTGCGGGGTGGCCACGGCCGAGCGGCCCTGCGCCCCCCCAACGCCGTCTCCCTTTGGCCGTTGTGGCCGGTTCGGCTCGGCTTGAGGCCGCCCGAACGGGGGCGCCCCACTTCCGGTGGGGGAGGGGCGGCCGACCCGCTTCCGGTGGGGGCGGGGGCGTGGTGCTCGTGGCGCGGCGTCCTGAGGTTCGGGGTGTGTGCGCCGCGGGGAGGGTTCGGCCGTGGCTCGCCGCCTCCCGCCCGAATTCTGGAGTTTTGTCTCCCCGCGTCAGGAGGGAAGAGCTCCTCCCCCAGGTGTTCGCAGGGCGCTGCTAGACCCCCTCGGCTCCAGCACGTCCTCGGCCGCGCGGCCGCTGCGCGCCCTCCGTGCCCCCGGCCCGAGCAGGTGGCCCGGCCCGAGCCAGGTGTCCTGGCCCAAGCAGGTGTCCTGGCCGGAGCCCGAGCCAGGTGTCCCGGCCCGAGGCAAGTGTCCTGGCCCCAGCCCGAAGCAGGTATCCCGGGCTGAGGCAAGTGTCCCAGCCGGAGCCAGGTGTCCGGCCCCGAGGCAGGTTTCCGGGCCCAAGCCTGAGGCAAGTGTCCCAGCCGGAGCCAGGTGTCCAGCCCGAGCCCGAAGCTGGTGTCTCGGCCAGAGCCAGGTGTCCCAGCCTGAAGCAGGTGTCCCAGCCTGAGCCAGGTGTCCCGGCCCAAGCCAGGTGTCCCAGCCCGAGGCAAGTGTACTGGCCCCAGCCCGAAGCAGGTGTCCCAGCCTCTCCGCCCGCCCGCCCCACGCCTGCCCCCAGGACTCTGGCGTTGGCCCGGAGTGGGGAGGCATCTTCACCTGGCAGGGGTGAAGCCTTTGGTGGCCCCTTAACCCATACCGAGTGCTCTTCGGCTCCTACACCTGTTGATTTTAGGCGGCAGCTTTCGCCTTGCAGCTGAAAACCACTTCCTCAGGCCTGAAAATTCTTACCTGTCCCTGTCACGGAGCTCCTGGGACAGCTGTGCGTCCGTACATTCCCCCACCACCACCTTTGTAATTTAAGTAATTTCAGCTCCGATGAAAACCTAGTATCTGCCCTTTCTGTTTGCAAACCGTGCTGCGGAGATCATGGTACTCAGGTTTTAAGCAAGCAGGGCATTTGGCTCACGGAGGACAGAGGATGGGTAAGACAGGACTTTTTATTTTTTTTTCCTATGTTGTCAGTGTTTTATTGTAAGAAGCGATGTGTAAAGTGGTAATAAACACTCAATTTTTCTTGGCTTCGCCTTTCAAGTATCACAGGTGTGTGTGTTTGTACTAAAGGAATCCATCCGTTTGGAGCCTATGAAATCTCAATTGTAGTGATTTTATTTTATTTTAATTTTTTGTAGTGATTTTAGAATATCAAGTAAACTGTAAGGTCTTTAAAGGATTTTTAAAAGCATAAGGCCCATGTTTTGTTTTGTTTTTTTCCTTTGGGATTTGTTACCTATTCTACCCTCTGAATTTGCAATTGTCTTAATTCTAGTTGTTTGAAAAAGCCATTATTACTTATTAGAAAAATGTGGGATTCTTTTGTTTGTTTGTTTGAATTCATGAGAGGCAGAGAGAGAGAGAGACAGAGACAGAAGCAGAGACACAGACAGAGGGACAAGCAGGCTCCCTGCAAGGAACCCAGTGTGGGACTCAATCCCGGATCTCCAGGATCACGCACGCCCTGGGCCAAAGGCAGATGCTAAACCGCTGAGCCACCCAGGGATCCCTGAAAAAATGTGTTTTAAACTAAATATTACAGTAAGGGAAAAAATACATGTTTTAACCTTATGTAAACATTGGGGGGGGAATCTAAGACCCTAGAATCAGTGAGTTATCCTTTGAATGACTACAGAATTTCTGCAGTAATTGAAAAGGCAAGACACGATAATGTCTATGTTATTATTAATTGAAGGTTAGGGACATGTAGACTGCCTCAAGCAAGTATTAATTAATTGATTGGACAGAAAGTGTTCACTGTCTTCCATATTAATAAAGTATAAAAGAAAATGTGATACGATCACCCTGACAAATTAAACTATAGTATTAGGAATTACTGCAGTAAGCAAAGATCGTGGAACTTTTAAATGAAAAAGAGAAAATTTAGTTAAAATATTGATTGAGATACAGTAGTATTGCCTTTAGGAAACTAGAGAGCAAAGGAGTTTTTTTAATTGGGTCTTTATGCTATTCCATAGAAGAATTGCAGTATAACAGAAGAAAATTTGCTGCAGCTGAAAGACAAGCAGCTTGCAGAACTGTTTTGAAGAAAGTAATATATACACCACATATCTGAAAGAAGACATTTTGTGACAAGTGGCAGTTTTTCATTGGTCCCATCAAAGAAGAAATCTTAGAAAAGCCTGTGAAAAACAGAGAGCAAGTCCATGGAGCCTGGCTTTTATTTTCTTTAAATCTTTAAAAAGTGTTTCTTTAGAAAGGCTTGTTATCTTCCAAAGATTTTTTTTTTCCCTCTGTGCTCTCTGTTGCAGTTTTCTTTGTATGTTTTAATAGAATCAAAATTAGAAATATAGGGCCGCCTGGGTGGCTCAGTCTGTTAAATGTCTGCCTTTGGCTTGGGTCATGATGGAGCCGCAGTCAGGCTCCCTGCCTTGTGAGGACTGTGATTCTCTGCCCTCCTGGCCCCTCTCCTTCTGCCCCTCTTCCTGCTCCTGCTCTCTCTCAAGTAAATAATTTAAAATTTTTTTACAAATTAGAAAAAGACTTAGGGAAGTGAACTCCACTACTCCTTAGAGTTAATGATTTTGAGATTTTCATTCCATTTCTTACTATCTATAAGCAAGAAATTGTCAGTACTTTTAGGGTACTCAGATTAGGTTTTTCTTTTCCAAAGAAACCATTTTCTTTTCCAGAAACAGCCATTGGTTATACTGCTCACAAAAGTTTAAAATATTAAAACAATAAGTTAAAATTCTGGATTCCATTTCACTGAAATTTGATTATCCAGAGTGCTAGGTACTATTTTTTTTTTAAGATTTTGTTTATTCATGAGAGACACAGAGAGAGAGGCAGAGACATAGGCAGAGGGAGAAGCAGGCTCCACGCAGGGAGCCTGATGTGGGACTCCAGGATCACGCCCTGAGCCAAAGGCAGACACTCAACCACTGAGCCACTCAGGCATCCTGCTAGGTACTATATTAAGTGCAAAAGTGTCTTTTAATTTCTTTTGTCCATCTCTCTCTTTTTTTTTTAAGATTTTATTTATTCATTTGAGAGAGAGCAGGAGCAGAGAGAGGGGCAGAGGGAGAAGCATACTCCCCACTGAGGAGGGTGGGGAGCAGGACTCAACCCTAGGATCCTGAGATCATGACCTGAGTCAAAGGCAGATGCTTAATGATCTGAGTACACACACACACACACACACATCCGGCCCCCTCCACCAATTACCTTTTTGTATGTTTGTTATTTTGGTAGTTTGTTTCGGCCATGGGGTTGAGTGTTGAAGAAAGTATCCTAACTACTTGAATGGTTTTTAAACTTACTACTCTGCTGTCTTTTCTTTTTTTCCTGCTGTCTTTATTTCAAGAACTTCAAGAGGATTCAAATGAAAATACCCCTTACATGACTTTTCATTATGTCAGCAAAAGTTTATTGAATGCTTACTGTGGGATAGACCCTATTCTGGGAACTTGTGATGTGTCAGTGAATACAGACAAATAACCATATTGTCTTGGAATTTACTCTCTAGTCTCCAAATAAAAAGTGGAATAGTGCTCCCTTGGTATCCCTAAATAAGATCTATCGTATAATCATTGTTCGTACTGAATTGAGAGCAGCCCTAAACTTCATCTCTCTTGATCTTGATCTCTAAGCCATTCTAAACCCAGTTTTGAATATTTCAGTGTAATTTTTCTCCAGACCATTAAAGCTCCTTTGTTAAGTATTTAGTGCTTTTTTTTTGGCGCATGCATCATGAACTTATCATTCTGGCCTCCTTTATGTAGTAAAAACAAAAGTGAGCAATACAGAAAATAGGGGATCAGAGAGGCCTAGTTCCAAATCTGATGTCCACCTTTACTAGCTGAGCTTACTAGCTTGGTTACCTTGAACAATTTATTTGATCTCTCTGAGCCTCAGTTACCATACCTAAATAGGGTTGTTTGGTGGACTGAGGATAGTCTGTGTAAATCACCTGGCACAATGCCTAGAGTTAGGAGCTTAATGTAATTACTTTATTCCCAGTCTCTTCTGCTATTTTGGCTATTAGGATTTGCCTGTGTGTTTTAAACCTTACATGTCCTCAAAAGTATGGAGATGCAGTGCTAGAATTTTTGAAATTATGCCTTCCCCCAGCAGCTTGTTTAGCAATCCAGATTTTATTTTTTATTCCTTATGGAAAGGAGAAATCTCTAATTTCCATGATCACTTTAGAAAATATACATAATAGAAAAATTTCAAGAAAAGATTAGGGAATCACTAAAGTAATATGAATTGTAGAAAGACTTTCAAATGATTCTTCTAAACCTACTTTTTTAATATATATATTTTATTTGTTTATTTGAGAGAGAGAGTGAGAACAAGCAGAGGGAGCTACAGAGGGAGAGGGAGAAGCAGCCAACCCGCTGGGCAGGTAGCTGGATATGGGGCTAGAACCCGGGACCCTGGGCCAGAACCTGAGCTGAATGCAGATGCTTAACCAACTGAGCCACCCAGGCACTTCATTCTCAACCTATTTAGTCACTAAGCCTAACATTCAAGAGCCTTCACT